TGGAAAGGCCCTACACCGCTGATCACCTGGGGTCGCGGTTACGCCGCCATGAAAGATCCTTCTACTAGACAAGCAGTGTGGGTTCCAGCGCGCTGTGTTCGTCCATATCATGGCATGGCATCAGGGCCTTCACAACCCGATTCCGGATTTCAATCTTCATCTGAACACAGAAGTCCATCTTCCAAGGTCAAAGCACCCGCAACCCATCACTTGGGGCCAGGTTAAATCAAGCTCAACAACAACTGCAACAGGCCTCATTACCTCAGACTCCTGAAAATCTTGTTGCTGCTGTTTTTGCTATTATTACTGCTAACTCTGTTACCATTTTACTTTGTATTTTCTTGTTTATGGTTAATGGTGTTTCTGCTCAAAATGACACTTCTGTGGTTCGTCTTAACCCTAATTTGTGGGTTCGTCATGCCCAATACATGTTTATGACCCATGGCACAAATATTACTTTATACTATGAGCCCCCAATGGCATTTGGTCAAATTTCTTTTATCCCTAACTTGATCATGTCTTCTACATTTATTGTCTCACAACTACAATCTATTTCACACTCCTGGCTATTTTCTAAACCCCCTATGCAATTGAATTATGTCCGTTGGCATTACTTGAAAGTTAGTCAATTTACAAGGGGTCTGTGTTTCTGTTGTCACGCTAAACACACTTGGCTTCATAATTGGTCTGATTATGATGATGCTCAGCACATATTTAAAAAGCTAGGGAATTATAGTTATTGTTCTGACTACTATTGGTTGTCAGGTACCTTTAATTCTTCTTTGCATGGAATTAATATAGCTCCTGATATGTATCCTGACAATTTTCCTATTTTTAATGCCTCTGATCAATCTAATACAGGATCGATATGCGCTGGTTGGCAGCTTAAGGATCCTAATATGTGGTTCTTTTTTGATAAATATGCCACTAATGTTCATCCTTAGAATTTTTCATTATTGGAATAAAACTATTGAGGATGAGCTTGCCAATTTACAATCATACATTCAAAATAATATCCATGCTCATTACTCACCTTTTGAGTGGCTAACCAATTGGCTCCCTGATTGGTCTTGGCTCAGACAGTTTTCCTTTATGTTATAATTATTATTATTGTACTAATTGCAACCTGTTGTTTTATTCAATGTATTCCAAATTTATTTGCATTGTTTCGTCCTTCTTCCCCCTCTCTTACTCCTCTACAATTGCGATACATTCATAAATCTTTGAATCCTCCATTTAAAATAAAAAACGAGGATATGTAGAGTTGTAATTGCAGGAATGTTCCAATCTCGGATGGCAAACCTCAGATAAAGAATGTTTCCAAGCAAATACAACTCAGGCAAACAAAGTCACTAATCTAAAGGAGGATTAGAGAGAGGAAGTAAACATGTTAGACTTTAACTAGAGATAATTAATTGTGTTAATTACTATGCTAAACAGTAACGAAAGTTAAGCAGTAACCAAAGTTAACCAATGTTGGAGGATAACTAAAAATGTGTATAAATGCAAGACTAGATTCCAATAAAGACCATCATGATTCAGTTGATCATGATCAAACAACTCGACTGCCTCGTCATTACAACAATTTGTAAAAATAATAAAAGCAGGATATCAATAAACACTCTAATTTGGGAATCTTCACATAGTTTTGAAAAAGCAATATGCAAAAGAAATACTTATTTGAGCAATCATCACGTCCTGTGCTAAACACATTTTTAATGAAAACTGAAAATATTCATGACACCCTTACTAGCCAGATCATATACCGATGCTAACCACTCCTGATCTGGCAGTGAAAATGTAAGAGATACGAAAAGATCCCTTAAGTCTTCTCTCCCATTGACATTCGGGCTGAAATGAAGTGCGTCTCACAGTAGGAAATAAACCAATATCAGTCACACAAATAAAAACCATAAGAAATACCCTCAAGACATGGAATTCTTTTGTACATGCTAAAGGCTCTCCAGATGTAGACCTGTCACCCAAAGCTGATACCAAAACACACAAACGATACAAAGACTATCTCACCCTGCAGGTGAAAAGTTAGCACTTCTCAGACCCAACGCAAACCTTTCAGGCAAATCACCTCCACAGCTCTAGCAGGGCTTGGACTTTCCTACAAATATTTCCAAAACTTGCTTTTAAAACATGCCCATCTTCAAGAGCAGAACTCTATGATTTTATCTGCTGTCAAACAAATTCAGCTTCCACTTCAAGTAGGTATCCTCTGCTCACTTACCTGGCCCCAGAACGGACCAGAATTTTCTTCTAACAGTTATTTATACAGATAAAGAATGCTGAAGAAATTTAGGCACTGTTTAATCTATTTGGAAGTGTATAGAGTTAGCATTTGCTTAATAAGCCTGAAACAATTTAGATCAAACATTAACAAACAAGTATTGCTTTAGGCTGAAATGTTGATCTTTACAATTTTAGATTATATGACAAAGACTTGTTTGTACTAAATTTTTGATTAAGCCTTCTGATCTTCTTTGCTGGGTTGTAAAATATTGGAATTGGCCTCTTGATACCTTGTCACTGTGTAGAGATAAAGCACTATTGTAGGAATTTAAATGTAATACCCATAGGCATTGTCTTATGTAACTTTCTACAACAATATCTGAAGCTTTTACCAAAACCCACCTTCTCATAAATGTGTTTTTAAAATATAGGCATGTAAGGAGCCAGCTTTGTCACAGAATTCATCCCCATAATTGCTCAATCATAGGGAGTTTCCTTTATTTTCAAATATACAATGAAACTGAACTTCTCAGTATCAACTATTTCTTTAAATGACGAGAAATGACCCCAAAACAATTTATAATATCTAGTAAGCAAGCAGCATTGATCATTTCTAATACATGGCAAAAGTATTTGTTTTGCCAGTCAGGGCAAGAAAACTCTCCAACAAATCTGAGTACAGATAGTTATCCAGCAACAACTGAATCATGTAATCCTCCTAGCCCACTAGAAACATGAGAAATGAACTAAAAGAATACATTGACATGACTGTTGTTATACTCCTACGCACCCAGACTTAATGTCACCCTATAATTTCTGTAAATAAGCACAAGAGCTCTACTTTGAAAATCAGCCAGTAGAGGCATTTCATCACAAGTAGGTTCTTTTATTTTACTTTTTAAGATTAGAGATTACAAAACAGAAGGAACCATAAAAGGCTAATTCTATCCTAAATAGCAAACAAAGAAAAAGAACCCTGCTAAAGGAAAAATACCAGACATTTACAACCTTAGATAGGAGAAAAGTTAGCAAAGCAAAAGGATCCTTCAGAGATCAAGGGTGACCTATGTTCTTGTCCTTTTCTGACCGCAGTCCAAAACACAGTAGTGAGTACTTTTCATTCAAACACTAACTAAACTGCAGAAAACTGTCTTTGGCATGGATAGAATATTCAAAACTCAGGATAGTTTTAGAATTTATAATTCTCGAGAGTTTCTTCGAGAATTCTATATTTATGACAATAATGCAATAGTAGTGCAAAAAACAGATGCTATGGTTTACCTTATTTGGTTATTGCCTTCTAATGATGATCACTGTTATGGGAAGCTATAGATCAAGACCAACATGCTGAAGTAAATCACAAATTGACTATTTCCCCAATAGGGGAGGATATTATATTACACTTAGGCTCCAATTTACCCCTCTGTTTTCCAGATGTGTTTAAACTCTGGAAAGTCCTGGACTGGTCCTCACTTTACCACTCATTCACTGACTGTACAAATGTACAACATCGTTGAAAAAAAGTGATACTTAGGATCAGTTCTCACAGTCATGCAACCCAGGTACTCAGTGACATGCTTGCAATTACAATGCTGCAATATCCTATGGTCACACAATCGCCATTTGCGACCTTTATTGCCAGCTTCTGACAAGCAAAGTCAATGATGAAGCCGGTAGAAGGCTGCAGATCTTGTCATCTCACGCTCAGTAATGGCACAGGATTTGCTTAATAACATTAACTAGAAGTGCCGGAACTGCCCTCACTAAACGATGCAGTCATACAGTGTCACATTTCGTGATGTCACTTAGCTATGGAAATTCCAGTTGTTAAGTGAGGACTACCTCTTCAGTGTTCACACATGTCTGTAGAACATCAAACTGGAGAGAGCTGTTTCAGAGTCTTGTTCTTCATTGTTTCTGCATCCTACTTTGGCTAATGTAGCATGCTTGAAAGTCTCTATTTAGGGATTACAGAGGCAACTATTAGTTCTAGCTTTGAAGCATTTCGTAAGTTGCCTCCAGATCATCATTTCCCTAAACAGGAAGAACTTCATTGCAAAAACATATTTTACACACAAACATACGTACCCACACATGCACACAGAGTCATTATCTAAACCGCACCTACTCCAGTACAGTGTTCATATACTGCATTTTTCTTTTTCCTGTTTCTTTATTCACAAGTATTCCAATGGCAATTATTCCAACACACATTAAACATTCTTCAGAGCACGATATTTATTTAGAAATACCTCATTTTTACCCTTTCCCAATACAAGGAGGTCCACAGAGTTTCCAACTGGTCACATATATACTATCTCTGTAAACAACTACTCAATTCCGGGGGGGGGGGGGACCCAATCCCTTTCACTTGCTTGGTTTCACTTTTTAACAAATGCTCTGTCCATGGTTAAAGGATAGATTTAAAAAGCGTAACGCTTTTCACATAAACTTAATGTTTTCTCAGCTGATATTTGCCAGACTACCCACTCCCGAGCCTTCATTTCCCTCCACCCGACCCCGGGGCTGTGCCAGCCTTGTGGGCCTCCGCACAGCTGAGAGAAAACCCGGACGCTCCCCTGCCTCGGGGCTCCTGAATGCTTGGCTGCATCAGCGAAATGAAAGCAGCCTAAGAAAAGCAGCCCCGTTGTTTCCCCATGCACGCAAGCCAAGCCCCTAGTCCTCATGCCCCCGGATCCTCCTAAGCCGGTTCCCTTATCAAGCTGCCACAGCCTCTTTTCGAGCAAAGCCAGACCCACCTCCACCATGAATCTCTTTTCCTTTTCCTTTTCCTTTTCCTTTTCACCGGCTTTCCATTTTGGCCCCTTCCTGTGACAGGTCATCTGATTGAACTTGCTTTCTCCTCTCACGTGACCACGCCGGGTCCGCGGTCGACGTGGAGATGGTGTGACGCTTTCGGGGACGCGGAGTTGTACTCCGCCCCGGCTCGGCAACTCCGACTTCCGCCTCAAAAAAACCTAAACAGCGGCTCTGTTTTGGTTTTGAGTCTTCACGCTTTGATTTGCGCTCCTTAGAGGGGCGCCGGTTCGTTGCAGCGGAGAAGCCGCTGTGACTTGCTGCTCCTTGAGCTAAGCTCGGCCGCACTTCTTCTTCCTCCCGCTCTGCGGCGGCGCTTTTTCCGCAGGAGACGCACCGAGGCCAAGGCGGAACCCGCCGGCTGCGGTTTAGCTTGCCTGGCCTTCGCGAGGCAAGACCCGGCTCTTGTATTGCAGCAGCAGCCCGGGTCCGTCTGGTTAGTGCATCTGTAGGGAGCTCGGTTGGTAGCAAAGCATCGGGAATCCCAAAGGTGCTTTTTTTTTTTTTTTTCAGGAGGCAACTGGACTTTGTTTTTTCTTTTTCTTTGAAGACGTTTCGCTTCTCATCCAAGAAGCTTCTTCAGCTCTGACAGGAATGGAAAGATTTATACTCCTTGCAGACAGCTGGTCATTTGCATCCTTTTAGAGGGCCTTTGAAGCACTTGGAGGTTTATCTGTGTCCTCAGGGTCACCTGAGTGGTGCTCCTGGTTCCTGTAGTCTGCAATTTTTTTCCTCTAGAAATCCGTTCCTACTCCCACAGCATTCAAAGGGTGTTCATCCCAAATTGTTTTGTGGCTTTCTTGGTACAGTTATCAGCTGTTGCTGTCGTTATTCCTAATGAGAAATCATGCAATCGTTCTGAGTGGTGGTCTCCTTTTCGCAGGGGCTGCAGCTCTCTTCCCAAAATGGATTCTGACGATGAGTGAATATTTTTTGGTGTTGTAAAATGCTTTGAGCTATTTCAAAATGGAGAAAGTAAATGATAAAGAATAAGACGGAATCTTTTGGGCAGCAAAAGGAAGAAAAAAGGAGTGGTTTCTAGCCCTCAATTTTTAGCTGTTGCCAAAGAGCAGCAGCTTCAGATTTTTGGTAAATTTATTAACTAGAAGGCCAAGGAGAAAGGAAGGAGTTCTTGCGGGATTTTTTTTACTGGGACTTGAATGGCCTATTAATTAAATGCATTATTATTATTATTTCTGCCAGGTATCAAATGCATGCACCTGGCTCATTTCAGCCAGGCTTTGTTGAAACAGGGCTTGGTCACCTCCTGTTTGGATCAGTACAGCACACTCTTAAGTTGTAACTGGTTCAGAATGCCCTGGGCGGGGCAATTGTTGTACCACTCTGCCAAACTGCGTTGGCTTCCGCCAGATGTCTAGCTGCAATCCAGGGTGTTGGTTATTAAATGTAAAGACCTGGTGTGGCACAGGGCTATATAATGTGACTGCCTACCTCCCATTTGTTCTGCTTGTTGCATAGATTCGACAAAAATCACCATGCTTCAAGTCCCTTTTGTGAGAGTGCCATCTAGCGGCTCCAGTAAGCATGGTTTTTTTTGTGTCAAAGCACCTGATCTGTGGAAGAGTTTCCCCCACAAGATTTAGATGACTCTATTATAAGGCTCTTAATAAGGCAGTGTTTCTCAACCTTGGCGATTCTTAAGATCTGTGGACTTGAACTCCCAGAATTCCCCAGCCAGGACATCTGACTGGAGAATTCTGGGAATTGAAGTCCGCAAATCTTAAAAGTCTCCAAGGTTGAGAAACCCTGCTTTAAGACAAGGGTCTTCAAACTTGGCAAGTTTAAGACTTGTGGACTTCAACTCCCAGAATTCCTGAGCTAACATGACTGGAGGAGGAATTCTGGGAGTTGAAGTCCCCAAGTCTTAAAGCTGTCAAGTTTGAAGACCCTTCCTCTAAGGCAGTGTTTCTCAAACTTGGCCACTTTTAATTTATGACTGGTCCTTGGTGCCAAGTTTGCTTGTTTTCATGGAGACATTTCATTACCCAAATTAGGTAACATCAGTGCTAGTAAAGAGTACTGTTTGCTGTCTGTTTATACAATTATGTCCGTTTATACTGACCAAACCGCACTCTTTACTAGCACTGATGAGTTTATCCACTTGGGATAATGAAACTTCTGCAAGAAAACAAGCAAACTCGGAGAGCACCAAGGACCCCTCATTTCAACCGAGCTACAAATATCCTCCTTTATTGGTACTTTAAGATATGTGAACTTCAACTCCTAAAATTCCCCAACCAGGCTAAGTAGGACTTCTGGGAGTTGAAGTCCACACATCTTACAGTTGCCAAAGTTGAGAAACACTGCTTTAAATGTCGTTTGGCATATTGATTGGTCTCCTTGGTTAACAATTTATTTTGTCTATTGTACCTTATGACTATCACTAAGTGTTGTACCTTATGATTCTTGACAAATGTATCTTTTCTTTTTATGTATACTGAGAGTATTTGCACCAAGACAAATTCCTTGTGTGTCCAATCACACTTGGCCAATAAAGGATTCTATTTCTCTTCTCTTGTATTTTATTTGATACGCTTTCCTTTTGTTTTGTTACATCAGGTGGTCATACAAGTTGCAAGAATTAAGCCACAGTGGTCGTACTCATATGTTACACTAGATCAGGGGTGTGAAACTTGTGTCGTCATGGCTGCATCCGCATCACGTGACATATCACAACTTTCCCCTTCGCTAAACCGGATGTGGGCGTGGCCAATGTGTAACGCATCTGGCTTGCGGGCGGTGAGTTACTAGATGGTAAACCATAGTTTGCAAACCTTAGGGAATACCTGGGTTCCTGTTGATGGATTGTAAACACTATTGCTTTACACAGTGAGCAAACTCATCTTCGCTGATCATCAGGCCAGACATATAGTTCAGCAAAAATATTGTTCCTCTCAGAATAATGGAGTTTTAAGACAAACTACTTTGCTAATGAAATCTGTTAGGCAAGTATGTTTTTTGATATACAAGCAATGAACTTATTTTATGAATGTAGTTTGAACAGTCTGCAATCACATCACATGTTAACCCTTAATTTGTTTCATTATGGCTTGCAAGTAAGCAAAGCACATTTTGATGTAGGGGGCTGCACAACCCCAGCCACAGAGAGCCCAAAGCTTTTAAGTGTATTTGCACTTTTAGATACAAAAACCAGGAGTAACATTTCTCTTGTTCTTGTCTTACATCAGATTTGCTAAATATGCCCTTTGACAAGTACCCTTCAATATTGGACCAAGACTCCTCAATGTGTGTAACTCACAATAAGCTGGCTTCCTTTTCCCATGATATTTTACAACTCAAATCGGATATAATTTTATATGATTATTTTCTTCTCTACCTACCATCAATTCACTTTAACAAAATATGTAGAAAGGAGGATGTAAAATAGTGGCTAAGAATGTGATTTGTACTATGCCTGCTTATGCAATAAAATACATTAAAAAGAGGTATCTTCATGAAGAGTTTTTCTTACGTAGTAATTGGCTATTGCAACCCAGATGTGGTTTATTTTTAAAAAAAAATATGCTCTATTGCTCATTTTCACTAAATAGAATTGGAAACAAAATCTGGTTTTGTTCTAGATGATTTAGTAACTGAATAATGTTTTAAAAATCCAGATAGTTTTCTTAGCTATGAATCATTATGCCAGAACAAATTGTTACAATATGTTGCCTATCACAGGTTTATTACAAAAATTCTTAAACTGAAATAGTAAAAGGTTAGCAACATTATCCAATAGTGTAGAAAAATACCTGTGTGGCTCACAACTGATTGCAGCATCTAGCCAACCTTGGCTGATCTTTAAAAAGCTTAGGAGAGTTGGACCAGAAAGTCCTAAAATGGAAGATTACCAGGAAATCATGGGGATATAGGCTACACTGGGGAGGGAAGAACCCTGCAAAAGACAACGATAGCAGATCATTTCTGAATTGTTGCTAAAAAGTTATGTTTTGTGACCAAATATCAGTTTCAGGGAAATTTTGTGTGCCCTATTTCCCACATTACTCATGATGATAACATAAAGTTGTGTTCTTCACATTTACAAATGCTCAGAAGCAAAATGTGTTATAAAGGTATTAAAAGGAATAAAGATGGCCTTTCTTCCCACTTCAACCATTGTATGTGATCATTTCCATTTCACTTTATGACCATAAGAATTGCATTTTTATAGGAATGGTTTGAATTAAATGTCTACATGTCTACTTTATTATAACACAAAAAGGAGGTTTATTTTGAATTCCCATTGTTTCTTTCAGAAGAAAAGGTATTGCTCGTGTCAAATATCTCAAGTAAATCAAGATTGGGATTTAAGTATTATTGCAGAAACTAAGAAAACCTATCCTTAAAGAAAAATATTACAGGAAAAGATAAAGGAACTGTTTAAACAAGATATATATGCCTTTGCTGTACAAAGTTGTAACAGTAGCTTACTGAATAATGTTAGTCACATAGCTATGCCATAGCTCTGACAATTAAAATAGAAATACAAGATAGTTGCATGGTTTGAAGGCAATACAGTCATGTCTAGAATCTTTTTATGTATGTGATTTAGAGACAATTGTATGGATGAGAGAAGGAGATCACTGCATTGCTGTATGCAAAAATATAAGTAAACTTTTGCCTCTCCCTGTCAGTTTCCCAGATTCTTACTTGGAAATTTCATGTACTAAAACAAAATTTCAAATTTACTCAAGATTAAGCAACAAAAGTTCTCTAAGTATAGTTTGGATAGTTACTCCAGCATAAGGTGTGCCAAATTTTTCCTGTTCATATCAAATGATGTAACTTTTATTAGAATTCAGGTAAAAATGGAACATATTGTACATAGTGGAGATACAATCAAAAAGCATATTGAATAGGTGAAAGAACCAAGATTTAGGAAGTCAGAGGATAGAACATAAAACAATTTTAGTGGAATAAGATGACATTTTAGCCTAACCTTTAAACTCTGTGGAATGCCATCAAATTACAAGCAACCCCAAAAATTCAATGAAACCTAATACTTGAGACGCAGATTTCTGTTAACATTATTAAAAGCAATAGCATCAAAATATACATTTCTGCACAAACAAAAATACAGGTATAGAAGCTAAGCGTCTTACTGCTCAGAGGACAAAGTGGGGAAAAAAATCAACAGAATACATCCAAGGTTATTCTTACAATTGGAAGAAAGATTCTGTAATTTTTAAATCAATAATCCCTAATTCTTAAACGAGCTATAAGGGCAGAGGTCCCCAAACTTGGCAACTTTAAGACTTGTGGGCTTCAACTCCCACAAGTCTTAAAGTTGCCAAGCTTGGAGAACTCTGTATAAGGACAAAGATTCTTTTTCTGGATTGTTTGCATGAATGCACCTTAAGCACTATTAAACATGTATTAAACATGGTCAGGAGGCAGGGATTGTACCTAACTGGCTCTAGCTAAGTGCAAAAAGTTAAGCTGCATCAGATCTAATATACTTGGGATGGGAGATGTCCAAGGAACCCTCAGAACTATAGGTGAGACTGGGAAGTAAAACAGAATCCCAGAAAGTTGCAAGGATACACTATACTTTTCTATTATTGCTGGAATCAATTACATAGAAATCTCTAGGCCAGTGGTCCCCAACCTTTTTTATGCCGCGGCCCGGTACCAGCATCACCTGGGCGGCGCCATCTTGTTTTGATGAAAAAGTGCTTCCGGTGAGCTTTCTACCCGGAAAAGCTCACCGGAAGCACTTTTTCATCAAAACAAGATGGCGGCGCCCAGCAAACCAGCGGCCCGGTAGGATTTGTTCCACGGACCGGTACCGGTCCGCGGACCGGTGGTTGGGGACCCCTGCTCTAGGCAACTACCAGGAATCAAGTCCAGCTCTAGAGAGCTTACTTTTTAGTAGTCCAAAATATCTAGAAGACCATCTGAGGGCTTATAAGGTCTAGGGTAGAAATGGGAAACCAAGTTCTAGTTCTCCCTTAGATGTGAAAAACAAGTAGGGAACCTCAATCAAATCATTCCTTCTCAGTCCAAAAGAGTTTTGGGTTCTAACAAGATGGTGATAAGTAGAATCTCTCATCACTCCATGGTGAGTCAGGTTGGCTATAAGAACTACAGCAAGCCTAGTGCAAAAGAAGCAAATCGTGTAACAAAGCAGGACAAAGGCTCAAAAGAACAGCATGCCAATGCTTCCTTCCATTCATAAAGAGGCTTATGACGGCTCATTGTTAATACTTCTCAAGGGCTGTGATCAGAAAATGTTTCTAATTTTAACATATTTTGCTGAGACAGCAACAATACGCTTTCGTTGCATCAGAGAATCACTCGGCAATCATTGTTTGGACACTGAACCTTCTGTAACAGGAAATATACACGTGACATTCAAATTATGGCACAATACCATATTTGATTGATGTCTTGAGTTATTTGATTATCTCCTGGGTCATTAATTTATTTTCCAATTGGACAATCAGTTTTGCTTAATGCATAGGATGTACGATATGTTAGAAAATAATAGATAGTTGGGTTCTAAGACACCTGTTTGTAAGTGGAACTAGTTGGTTCCTCAGGAACAAGAAAACCGGTCTTCAAACAAGGAGAAAAATGCTCATTTAGAAGGATCTGTGCTGCTTTGCCCAGCAATACCCCTGCAAGCAGTTAGGTTTTTTAAAAGAAAAGTTAGTGCGTTCTTATATAAATGGAAATTGTTCACCTTTTTTTTAAAGCTACTTTTCATGGTTGCTGTGACTCACCTCCCCAAGAAAACATTAAGCTTAAGAACAAAGGACAAGGATACACATTTTTATGCAGTAGATAATACCAGCTAACAAAATGTACCACTTAAAATAAGAGGGTGTAAATGGAATGTATTGCCAAAACAAAAAAAACAAAAAACAAACAAACAAATGGGAACAATCCTGATTTTCTCAGTATGTTTTTTAGCTCCCACATTCACAAAGCTCATCTCAGGATGAAAAAAGGCTGGTTGAATTGCACAAGGCATTATTTAGAAACTGTCCATTCCTAAAAAAAATATTTCTGCTATACTGAATGAGCCACTCCATATAGGTTCTGTAAAGTGTCAGAGGGGTAACCAAATCTGGCTAGACTGAAGGAGCACCCACAAAGTAGAAAATGTAATTTCTCCAGGTTTTTTTTTTTTTTTTTTTGGACCCCTGGTTCAGATTACCCTGTTATCAGTGCACTTCTACTACTTCCTGCCTTGAAGAGGCCTTTATCTACCATTTAAGACTCTGGAATGTAGGGAAATCTAATAAGGAAATCCTCCAATAGAGTGTTGCAAGGCTGGGCCCAATGCATCTGGCAGGTGTGTCTGCCAGCTAAACATATGCTTAATGTATGCAGGTTCCCATTGCTATAATTTGTACAATCTGGCCCTTAATAAGTTTTAGATGGGCAGGCATCTTTTTCTAATAAGAAGCATTCTTTCCATGGATTCTCCAATCTGCGCTCCCAGGAATTAACAGCCGTCACAAAAGCAGTAACTATAACCCTTCCTCTTTAAACGCTGCAAAATAACTTTTCATGTTAGTCATAACAGGATAGAAAAAGCTGGAAGAAACATGGCACTTGATGCTGAGACTCAGTGTAGCCACCGGTTCTCTGCCTGCAAGGAGAAGGAGAACTTGGTGCAGGACATCTCTTGGTCCCCGTTGCTCAACACAACTCTCATCCTGTAGTCTCCATTGGTGAGGAAAGAAGGCAAATCCATGTTGGGTATGAAGAATTCAGAGGTAGGAAGGCTGTAGGTACCCTGAAAAGAAGAAAGACAAACCATCCCATCAGTCTCCATAATACTGATACACTGCCTTTCTCTGTCTATCTGACTATAATTTCAGTACCAATAAACACCAAGGATATCTTTTAAAACAGGAGCAGAAATGAGGAAGAATTTACAGGATGAACTACTGAAATAGCTCTTCAGTGTAATCACTAAAAGACCAATGCAAATTGCTTAAACAAAATTCTACGCTTGAACATAACCCAGTATGGAAAATTCTACTTTCTGCTTCTATATTGTTATTCAAGTTCTAGAAGGAGTTGTGGATAGTCTAGGACTTTTAGGCTCCTACCGTTGGCTGCGCCTGCTTCTTCTCCAGGATTTGCCGCCCGAGACAGCTCACTCCCAGCCAATTGGCTGACTGCCAATGGTGGTAGTCACGACGCAATTGGTCCATGGGCTGGGAAGGCCAAACGCCTGAGACAAACTGTATTTCGACGAATGGAGCATGTCGAAGGGCCTGGCAATGGAGGGGCTGTGGCCCATTGGCCCAGGCGAAAGGATGAGGGTGGGCCAGCCAAGAAAAAAAGCTAGTGGATAATAACGTGGAGGCGAAACCCTGGAGGAGAAGCAGGCATGGCCAACAGTTGGAGCCTAAAAGTCCCATTCTGGACAGCTGCCATCCAGCAAATTTTCTATAACCTAAGACGCTGGCTAGCTCCTCTGAGAAAAAGGATAACTACTATGGCAAGGTGGATTGCTAAAAGCAGATTTGAAAAAGAATTTGGAAATTAACATGGGCAGAATAGTGAAGAGCAACAGAATTGAGCTGAAATGGGGCAAAATAAGTAACTCTGGGAAACTTGCACATGGATTGCATTTTGTGATCATAGTAAGCCATATGCTTTCACAGAAAATCTGGATTCCCCTTTGAAAGATGCCCAGTTCTATTTGCAAGTTAATTCCTTTATTTTAATGCATCATTATATTTTAATTGATAAGTTTTCACAGAGATGCTCTGCATTACGGGCCACCTGAATGTATTCCTTTTGTAATTGTAAGGCTGAGGTTATGTAAATACCGGTTAGTAAAAAAAATCAAAAACCCAAAATCTTAGAGCAAGATTTGACTATAGCTGAAAATCCTCACAAGTCTATCATCTACTTCTGGATGAACGGAGGCACACAATTATTGGAGGTGCACAACTTTACAGAGAGAGAAGTGTAAGGAGCTGCTGATGCCCAAAGAATTTTGTTGCTGTGTTTCCAAGATTAAGAAACAAAAGGAGGAAGAGGGCTCACCGCTTTGAACGGGCAGTGACATGGAAGGCCGTAACTTTGCAATGGCTGTGGACATGGCTGGCCTGGAGGGATGAGACTGTCCAGCATGGCGCAAGTATCATCATAGGTACAGCTCCCAATATCATCCACACAAGGGATTTTTATCCACATATCTCCAAGCTTCTTCTCCAGTATGACAATTGCCTGGAAATAGACGTGAGCATTAATATTCTGTGGAAAATTTCTTCCTATCATTAATACAACCTGGTATTTCTCTCCCTACCCCACCACCCCCACCCCAAATAGCATGTTGACAGCAAATTAGTTAAAATAACCTGAGAAATCAATGATTGCACAGTCAATTCTCTCTTTTTTTAAAAAAATAATAATAAAGTTTTATTGAGTTTTAACAAAACAAATAAAACATCTTATTTGAGTACAGCATCGTTCCAGGTTATCATATTTCCATACAGACACAATTTCATATGCATATTCATCTTATGTATTCAACTTCATATCTTATTACTCTTTTTCCAACTTCTCACTATTTCACCCTTTACTTCTATTAATTTTCTTTTATGGTTATCTCATTTTCGTCTTATTCAATTGTATTTCTTTTACCTAAATTTCTATATCTTTTTATTCATTGTATTTATACTTTCCTCTGTCTTGTTTACAATTTCATATGTTCTCTTCCAACATTCTTAAGAAGCAAAATTCCCCCTATGATTGCCAATCGAAGTGCAACACCTTTAAATTTTATTGTTATCATATGAAATCTCATTAAACATTGAATTTGTGCGTTCTAAAATTATAACATTCAAATTTCTAATATCTATTTTATATCATGTAGATCTCATCATTCAGACTCTGCTTGGTACTTCGCCTTGAAAATGTAAAAAGAAAAATTCTAAAAACATAGCAAAAACAATATATATATATAAACATTAGTAAACAAAATAGTTATTCAAAATCATTCTAGTACTGGTATGAACCTTGTAAATCTTTCACGTTTCTTTTCAATATCTATCAATCTTTGAGAACAATTGAAATTTTTCCCTCCCTTCTTCATTATTACTTAACTGTTAATAAGCATACCATTGGATAGTCATACAGTTTTATCTTATAAATTATTTACTATTAATAAGCAAAATAATTATTCAAATTCATTCTAATAACTGGTATAAATTTCCTTATAAATCTTTCACATTTCTTTTCAATATTTTATCAATCTTTAGAAACAATTGCAATATTTCCCTCTCTTCTTTATTATTGCATTAATTATAAATAAACATACCATTACATAACAATACAGTTTTATCTCATAGATTATTTACTTATTTCATTTCTAACTGATTACAGTATTCTACTGTCACAACACTATCTTTTGTACCTTTGCAGAATCCTCACTTTTAACTTAATTTAACCATTGTCTCTGTGTTTTCTAGCTGAGCAAATACCTTTAATCCTAGTACGTTTCCCCTTTTTCTTTATTTCCTGTTTTTGTCCCTCATAAGTTCTTTCCCTTTCTATCTTTCCCCCCTTTTTCTCATCCCTTTTTTTATACCCTTCTCTCTCTAATTTTCCCTTGTGTAGTTTTTTTTTCTGTTTCTCTTTGCTGTTATACTTCTATTTCAGACTATTTTTCTTTTTGACTGTTCCCTTTGATCTCAAACTTTTAACTCCTTTCCCCCCTTTTCTCCTTATTACCACACTTTGCATTATTTGATCATTGAAAATGTCTTCTTCTTCATCCCGCCCTTCTTCTTGCTCTTGAAGCTTTTCCTTTTGCTTTTCATAGTTCAGGATCTCCATTTCAAAAAATTCAAATACAAAGCCAAAGGATCTTCCTCCCCTTTCTGCATCTTCTTTCTGTTTTTTAAGACTCATCTTCAATTCCTCCAGGAGTGATGGCATTTTAAACACTTTTGAACAACCACCCGATTGACTTTAAGTAAAAACAGAAAAAGAAAGAAAAAACCAATGCCAAAACCTTTTTTTAAAAAATCACCAAATGATCCCAGACTGTTCCTTCTTGTTTCTTTCCTTTACTTTTCCTTTCTGTGGGTTACTGTATCTTTTAATAAGATTTCAGTTACAATGTATCCTCGGGAGTCTTTTCAAAGTTTCACTGTTAATCCTCTTTATTTTTCCAGGTGGCACTCCATTTTTCCATTATTCCAAGTCCCACCCTTTTGCCTCCACTTTTCTCCTTTTTAGGGCTTTGAAATGACCAAGAAAAAATCTTTATTCTCCTTTTGACACTTAGATTTCAGCTTAAGGTTGCCTGTTAGTGTCAAAATAGATTAATATAAATTTCTTTCCATACCATTTGTAATTGTCAATATAAAGGTAAAAAAGGGGGTTTAAACCTCCTTTTCTCTCTCCTTCGCCGCTTAAAGATCTTCTTTCAGAAGTATCCCTCTAGGTACTTTTAGATTCAGGGTACCTTGCTTAGATGTTCTCTGTTGTTTAGCCCGGTCTGTCCTGCTTTCCTCTTTGTCTTCCCCCTGCACAATCTTATCCAGTCAGGTTCTTCTTTGAGGTGGCCATTTCTGACCACCGCTGCAACCGCCTTCGGGGAAGGGAGTTTAGACCAGCCAAGGAGGAGAGATGTGGCTCCCCTCCACTCGGGTAGCAATCTCCCCCCTCTTTATCACCTCTACGGGGTGGCTTCAGCCCCGAATCCAAAGGATTGGGGCGCTAAAGCGGTGAGCACAGATTGAAACCGCGCACGATCGCAGATTTCGGTCTGTTGCTGAAGAGACCCAAACCGGAAGTCCCACAGTCAATTCTCTGAATGTGTATCACTGTTTAGGCTACTTGCTTTGGAGAAATAAAGCAATAAGCTTGATTCATCTTTAAGTGAGGAATTGAATCTGGTCTGACAGCTAAATTCAGGACCCCACCTTACCTGGGAGAAGATAAATATCAAGGAGATACACCTTGAAAGAGGTGTAAACCTCATCCCAGAAAAGCTCCTGTTCCTTCTACCACTGTCACCTTTTGGACAAGGGATGCCACACTCCCAATAAACTCAACTGGGAGATGCAATTGGAACTTGCCATTTTACTTTTCTATTCAGCATGGGAGAAAGTGTGGGAGAAAGCCACTTGCAAAACATTATTTAATTATAAAGTGCACCACATTAAAAGAGCATATTCACGGACAGGATTTATTCTCCATGAAATTATCCAACATTACAGGAGTTAAAAGGGAGGGTGACAATATCATTCTATAAGGAGTATTAATAAGCAAAACATGCACTCTGATGTTAAGCTATAATCAAGTGGGCACCCCTGATATAAACCTAATGATCGGATGGGAAACTAGTGACAGCCAGATGCAACTGTTCTCAGATATCATAAGCCACCACTTGTGAGCAGTAGAGAGCCATACAAATGCTGCAAGGTTCCTTCACACTCTTCCCATTTGTATATCCTTTTTAGTACAGAAAGCAGTTTTCTCCAAACTGGAGCTTTCCAAATGTTTTATGTTAACATGGCAATCCCCTCAACCTTGCCTGGCTAATAGCTGAAACACTCTTCTCTAACACAGGGCTGTCAAACTCATGTTGTCAGGGCAGTGTCATGTGACGTATCAGGACTTTTCCCCCCTTCGCTAAACCAGGTGTGGGTGTGGCCGGCGTATGACACATCTGGCCCACAGGCCGGGAGTTTGACAGCCCTGCTCTAACACATCTGCAAATTATCAGCTGATATCAAAACACATCTTCTTTCCCAGCCGTTTATTCCTATCCCTTTTTTCTCTGTGAATTTTCTCTAGAGCTCCTAAAGGAAATCAACCTCAACTGTCCTTTGGAAGGACAGATACTGGAGCTAAAACTCAAACACTTTGGCCACCAAATAAGAGAGAACTTATTGGGAAAAAAAGACCTTGATGTTGGGAAAGACTGAAGGCAAAAGGAGAAGGGGGTGGCAGAGGATGAGATAGACTTTGTCTTTGACATAATGAACATGAATTTGGGCAAACTCCAGGAGACAGTGCAGGACAGGGCGGCCTTGTGTGCTGTGGTTCATGGGGTCACAAAGAGTTGGACTTAGTGACTGGATAACAACAACTCTAGAACACACCGGGAAAAAAGGCTCAATGCCATTGCTCTGTGCTGGTCCTCAGAGGGGAAAAAAAGACTTCAAAAGCACAGTTTAAAAACACAAGGTGGCCAAGCATGCAAAAAAAAAAAAAAATCCCCTAACTAAGCCTCTGGGCTCTTACTGGATTGCTTCCTCCCAGCCCAAAAGCATGATAAGGATTCACATGACAAGTGCTCACAAGGCGAACCAGCTTGTGTGGTATCAAAGGTCTCAGACACTTATCCTGTTTTCCGTGGTGCTTCTGAGAACAGCTGAAACACTGCTTTTTTTTTTTCCCCTATGCAAGGGATCCCCTCCCTTCTACATGTGGTCTGTCCACTGCTCTCAAATCGGTGCCTGAATTTTCCCACACCATCATCTCTATTCATAAGCAGATACAATTTAGCTCATTACCAGCACCTCCCAAATCACAGCTGATGGGAGTTTGCAACATGGAAGTTGGGAAGAACTGGTGTGGACTCACTTCTCACAAGGGGTGTGTGTGTGTGTGTGTGTGTGTGTGTTTGTGAGTGAGAGAGAGAAAGACAGACAGACAGACAGAAATAGATAAGATAGATGATAGATAGATGATAGATAGATGATAGATCGATGATAGATAGATAGATAGATAGATAGATAGATAGATAGATAGATAGATAGATGATAGATAGAGAAGGGGAGAGGGAGAGACAGAGACAGAGAGAGAGAGAGAGAGAGAATATTATTGAGTCACTCTGGCCATGACCTTACCCTTCCTCGTCCCTGCAGAGGTCAGCTGCCACTGAGGCTTGCTAAGATGCTACTATTTAAAATACAGCAAAGGGAGAGTGACTTTGTGGTTTGCAACATCCCCCGACTATAATATCTTGTTGGGCTAGATGGGAAACCATCACATATATGAAATGAAAACATAGATGGGAGGCAGGGCATTGGTTGAATGTCTTTGGATTTTCCTCCTGTTAGGTGGAGGAAGTACTAACAGGCACATCTTTCTCCAGCATTCTGAGTGTGGCTGTACCTGAAAATGTCATTAAACTGGCTTCCAACAATTTCTGAGTAGCTGACAATTGAAATGAAATGCTCTGTCTTGAGGAATATGTCCAAAGGAAATGTACTTCCTCAAGGAGAGATGAGGGTTTGATTGTCCCCGAGTATCATTTTTAATATTCAACCTAATAGTAGTCCACTTTCTGGACTACCAAGTTACACTTTTCCAAATTTTGCAATATAATATTTCTCAAAAAAAAAGAAGGGTTTAAAAATCTCTATTTTGGCTCAGAGATGTACAGGAATGTTTGTGGAAACTATATTCATTTTTATGAGAATTTTCATACAGTTTTGTGTGCTTAAGTGATGTGGAAATTGGACTGGATGGATTTAGGCATGCAGCCCCATGCAAAGCTGCCACAGCCAGGAAGCAAACTTCATCCCTGGACAAAATCTTTTTGCAGAATTGGAGAAATCCAGCATAGGTTACAGCACCCAAATAAATGAATGAAATGAAATTATCAGAGGCAACACACAGAATTTCTCATGATGGATTTTCTACTTATGTTCCATTTTTCACAAGACTCTACAGGGCCTCTAACATTTTAAACTAGATCCAACGCCTCTGAGTTTCCTATTGAAAGGTATTAAGCTTACTTTGTTCTCCAATGAATAATTTTTCAGGCATTGCTATCAAACCAATGTATTCTTGCATAAATATTAAGAAAACTTCTAGGCCTCAGCTAAAGAAAAACACATGTCCTATGTCCAAGCAGGTAAAAAAATAGTGCTGCCTGGCCACATATGAGAAAAATCTCCTTCCCTCACTTCCTTTAAAAAAAACAAAAAACTTGGAGCCAAATGTAGAAGATTCATGTTTGAAAACAACCTTGAACGTGTAAATGTACATATCACGTCACAGTTTTCTAGTTAGAAGCAAATCTGTTTGCCATTTTGAGTCAACCTCAATTCAAGCTAATGAACAAACCATAGCATTATATCTGAAAGGATTCTATGTTTAAAACTATCCTGTGACTCTACAGCAGGAAAAGCTTGTGGCCTGTCAGTTGATTCAAGCTGAAGTCCGTGTAAGGAAGGGTTTCAACACTAGGTGTGTCGGAAACCATCCTGGAACCACCCAAGTACACAAAATCCTACTATTTCTTTTGACAGGATTTCATTCTATTTCATCTGATATCCCTATCTCAGTGCCTGAAATCCAGAACAGGAAAAACAGCACCAGATCTCAAAAAAAAATAGCGCTAGAATGAACATAACTATGAGAACTAGTAACAGAATGATCAAGAAACCAGTAAGACAGGAAAAGACTTGAGAACATGACAAAGTAATAAGAAAACAGCATGCAACATCTGAGCTAAATCACAACCCACATTCTCAGGCCCAGGACTCAAAAGGCTCATATAAACATAATTTTTCAAAACTCATAAAGCTTTGCGTACAACCAGTTAAGTTGTTATCAGTACAATCAATAAACACAAGGCAATTTTCATTAGGATTGCAGAAAAAAACAACTACTAAACTGCTTTCCATTGATGACCTGTATACTGCACGAGTCAAAAAGAGGGCTGTGAAAATATTTACAGAACCCCTCACATCCTGGACATAAACTGTTTCAACTCCTACCCTCAAAACGACGCTATAGAGCACTGCACACCAGAACAACTAGACACAAGGACAGTTTTTTCCCCAGAATGCCATCACTCTGCTAAACAAATAATTTCCTCAACGCTGTTCAACTATTTACAAAGTCTGCACCACTATTACTATTAATCTTCTCATAACTCCTTATCACCCATCCCCTCCCATTTGTGACTGTATGACTGTAACTTTGTCGCTTGTATCCTTACGATTTATATCAACTGTTTCCTAGTATGATTTGATTACCTATTTGTACCCTATGACTATCATTAAGTGTTGTACCTGATGATTCTTGATGAATGTATCTTTTCTTCTTATGTATATGAGAGCATGTGCACCACGACAAATTCCTTGTGTGTCCAATCACACTTGGGAAATAAATAATTCATTCATTCATTCATTCATTCATTCATTCATTCATTCACTCTGTGGGTGTTAGCTGCAGCCTTTAGATTCTTTGGAGGCTGACATCATTCTGGATATGAAATTATTATATGCCTCCTGATTTTATTATAATCCCTTAGAAATATGGCTGAGGCTAGACTATGGCATGGATAAGTGCAGGTAGTCCTCGACTTACAACAGTTCATTTAGTGACCACTCAAAGTTACAACAGCACTGAAAAAAGTGACTTCTGACTTATTTCACACTTATGACCATTGTAGCATTCTCGTGGTCACATGTTTTACATTCAGATACTTGGCAACTGATTCCTATTTATGATGGTTACAGAGTCCCAGATCCATGTGATCCCCTTTTGCGACCTTCTGACAAGCAAAGTCCAGATTCACTTAACAAATGTGTTTGTTAAGTGAATCAGATGTTACTAATTTAACACTTGCCGTGTTTCACTTAACAAATGTGGCAAGAAAAGTCATAAAATGAGGCAAAACTCACTTAACAAATTTCCCACTTAGCAACATAAATTCTGGGCTCATAAATCGAGGAGTACCTGTAGGTGCTTAATATGAGAATATAAGCTGGAATCCACTTTTTTAAAAAAATGCTTTATATGGCTACCTAACTCCCAAGTACCTTACATAGGGTAAAAATGTATAAACCAAACTAGCTGATAACACTACACACTATACGCTGAAACAAGCCGTACCACAATACAATGTGGGGTCAAAACCACACATATTCCAACGATGTTACAGGCCATTCAGTGCTATGAGTTGGTTCAAGATGTTACTCAACCTTGACCACTTCAGGATGTGTGGACTTCAACTCCCAGAATTCTACAGCCAGCATGGGGAGTTGAAGTTCATACTATTAAAGTGGTCAAAGTTGAGAAACACTGCCCCAAAACATCTTCAAGCACTCTTTCCTTCTTCTATTTGGAGGGTGGCCAATTTTTTAGTCACAAGGAACTGAAAATACGAAGTGGGGAAATCATGCAAAATGCATGGCTAATATTTTCCGTATTAAGGGAGTGTTATTTTGCATTATTCTGTTTCATTCTTAATGGTGTCAGGCCTGTTTTAGGACATATAGCTTCCCTGTGTTTTCTGACTTAACATGGCTGGAAAGTGCAGCACCACTTTTCAAATAATACACTACTAAAATCTGGCAATGGGCCTTGGGTCTACAGACTATTCACTCCTAGTCTACTTGGAGAAATATCTTTCTAGGACAACAATCAGGAGGCAAAAAGGTTTTAGCAAGAGGCAGCACTAAGATGACTGTGAATTATCTTGGAAACTAAGCAGAGTCTGCCAGGGTTGACGCTTTGATAGGGCATCAGCTGAGAATGACAAAGCTGCTGGATCGACTGGAAAGTTGAAAAGAAAAAACAAACCCAGAAGGCAGCATTCTGTTAGATTCCAAGAAAAGTACATGGATTCAGTCATCAGGATTTGAACATTACTCAAAGATGCCTTTATCCAGGAAAGAAAGAAAGAACAAGGAGGGAGCTGAAAAAATTGGGCTATCAATGTCCAAGCTGAGCTGAGCCGCCACAAAACTAACAAAGAATATGACATCTAAACTAAAAGAGGAACTAACGAAAGAAATGGGCATTCAAATCGTGAACAAAGTGAAATACTTAGGTATACTTAGGAATTTTTTCTCCTAGGAATAATATCAGAAAGATATAGGAAGGATTTAATGTATCTAATAGTACATGTATCAACGGCGGCTAGAGTAATATATGCACAATACTGGAAAAATGAAAACATACCTCCAGAAACAGAGATAATATGAAAAATTATGGCCTGTGCAGAATCAGATTGGTTAACTCTAGAATTAAAAGACAAAAGAGAATCTACATACTATGAAACATGGAATAAATTTTATCAATGGTTACAGAGAAGAATGCAAGGTCGGAGTTATGATGATTTGAATAATTAGTAAATAATATATCAAAAAAGGAGGTTATAAATGATGAAGTGAAATCTATATGTGTATAACAATTGTAATGCTAGATCGGCTGTACCGTGTTGTATTCTTATAATTAAAATAAAAAAATAAAATTAAAAAAAACTAAAACAGTGTGCAATCTTATATCAGTCTGATTTATAGTTCAAGACACCAAATAAATATGTTTATTTTAACAAATGTGCTACTGTCAGGGATGCAAGTAACATTTTTTGGTTTGGTTTGGTTTTGTTCCATCACCTTCCACGTACCTTTAGAGGAGCACAGAGGAGTATAGTGCTGGCCCCCGATGCAGTAATTGTCACATCTCCAGGGACAGCAATTGGATCAGGACTGACAGAGAGACTCTTGATTATTGCAGGTTCTGATGGAGGGCCACAGTTTTCCCATTCAAAGTTTTGTACCTAAATGTGTGAAGAAAGACCAGATTTAAAATTGTGCATTAAGTTTGACAGGAAGACCTTCTCCAATCTGGTTGGGAAACTCTGGCTAAATTGGCAATGCAGCCCAAACGCACTTGGAGAACCCAAGTGCGAGGATAACTGGGTCATGTTTTCTGTAACAGGATAAATAATAGTTACAAAACTTGAAATGCATAATGTTATTAAGGGGAAAAGGGGGAGCAATTGATATATCCCTTTCTGCCTATCTAATGCTAAATAGGAACACGGTGGCTCAGTGGTTAAGACACTGAGCTTGTCGATCAGAAAGGTCGGCAGTTCGGGCAGTTCGAATCCCTAGCGCCACGTAATGGAATGAGTTCCTATTACTTGTCCCAGCTTCTGCCAACCTAGCAGTTCGCAAGCATGTAAAAATGCAAGTAGAAAAATAGGGACCACTTTGGTGAGAAGGTAACAGTGTTCCATGCGCTTTCGGCATTTAGTCATGCCGGCCACATAACCACGGAGACGTTTTCGGACAGCGCTGGCTCTTCGGCTTTGTAACGGAGATGAGCACCGCCCCCTAGAGCCGGAAACGACTAGCACATATGTGCAAGAGGAACTTTTACCTTTTAACACTTCCTATCCTATTTTCAATTGATCTAATTGCAGATTTCCTTCCTTTTGTTCAATGAGATCTGTACGTATGTGATAAATCTGCATTTTCTAGACTTTCTGTGAAGGCTCCCGTGATCCACCACTCTTTTAAACCTAGACATCAGAATGCTACTTCCCAAGATTTCTAGACTAAGCTACTGCCAAACATGTAGTTTTCTGCACATTTTTAATGTGGAAAACCATTAGATCATGTCAAATTCTCTGTTTGAAGCCAGAAAAGATACAAAAAAGATTTATGACTTCAGTTAATCCTATATTTCCATTTGGGTCCTGCATAAAACTTATATACATAGCCTTCAAAAGACAACATCCAGAAAACATTTTTGTTCTCATTGTTTTCTTTCAGTAACAAAGTACAAGCTAGGCTAGGTGTTTTGAGATTAGCTGTCCAGGAGCATGGTCACCACTTCTGAAGAGCCCTAGATTGGACAAAGCAGAGCTAGAATGTTGCCGTGGCTCTTTGCTTTGGAGTATCATCTCGTGGTGGTCTTGGGATTTCAATTATTATATTACCTGCTGGAGAATTAGCTTCTCAGTTATCATAATTCCACTACAAGTAGTCCTTGACTTACAAACACAATCGACCCCCCAAATTTATGTTGTTAAGTGAGACCGTTAAGTGAGTTTTGCCCCATTTTACGACCTTTCTTGCCAGTTGTTAAGTGAATCACTGCAGTTGATTAAGTTAGTTACCCAGTTGTTAAGTGAACCCAGCTCCCTCATTGATTTGGTTTGTCAGAAAGTCACAAAAGGTTATCATATGACCTTGGGTCACAGTAACGGTCTTAATTATGAACCAGTTTCCAGGCATCTTGATATGCCATGGTAGCGCAGTGGTTAGAGTGCAGTACTGCAGGATACTGACTGCCAGCTGACTACAATTTGGCAGTTCAAGTCTCACAAGACTCAAGGTTGACTCAGCCTTCCATCCTTCCAAGGTGGGTAAATGAGGACCCTGATTGTTGGGGGCAATGGGCTGACTCTGTAAGCCGCTTAGAGAGGGCTGTGAATCACTGTGAAGTGATATAGTCTAAGACGAAGTGCTTATTGCTATTGCTATCTGAATTGTGATCACAGGATCATGGGGATGCTGCAAAAGTCAGAACTATGAAAAATGGTCATAAGTCACATTTTTCAGAGCCATTGTAACTTTGGATGGTTGACGAACGGCCTCAGTCACTGAACACTACAGAAGCCATCAAAGTCCTATGCTTCCTTATGGAAATGCAGGATTCGGCTCACCTAGCCCTTCAGGATTGGCAAGTACTTTTAATTTTTAATGAGAGGTGCTTCTTGTGTAGGAGTTTTCTATTGTTTGGGGAAAGCCTTCAAGGGACTGGTTAGACAGGATGACTCTCCTTAGCTCCAATTGGTAAAATCTCAGTTGAAAACCACTTTTAACACAGAAGCAAAGCACTACAATTTACAACCATTTCATCACAGAGTACTTCAGGTTTGTACATGTTGGACTGGGTATGTAAAGATCATGACACACCTCAGACCTTCATAGGGATCGTTGTGTCCCTTGTTTAAGGAGGTGCTATTGGATAAGCCTAAATTTACACAGATCTGTAAAAAAAAGAGACGTGTCCTTGAGAATTGGGATTACAGTTTAATTATTAAGCTTTTTATTTAACAAACACGGCATTCTTGTGCAAAGACGTTTTGTGAAAGTGTTGCAAAACCTCTGCTTCATTTGGTCAAGTGTAGTCTATGGCACATTGGTAGGACGTTATTTACACAATATCAATAAAGGAGAATATTTGTAGCTCAGAGCTGAACTGAGGGGTTCTTGATGCTATGAGCTTGATTTCTATTTACCCAGACTAGGTAACATCAACAGTGCTAGTAAAAAGTGGAATTTACTCTCAGTTTATATTCTAGTAGCTTCAAGACCATTTCCAGTAACACTGACAGAGCAAGCCATGGTTAGAATATATAAACTGAGAGCCAATCCTACTCCTTACTAACATTGATGATAACTAGTTTGGATACGAAAATGTCTGCATAAAAAACAACTAAGCTCTGAGAGCACAAAAAAAAAACCCTTATTTAGAATGTAATGTTTTATAAGTAGTAACATTAGAGATAATTTTGAAAGCAATCTTATTAGATTCCAAGCTAAGAATCGGTTTTGTAAAAAGTGGTATTTAGGCCCATGCACTGATCGATCAATCAATCGTCCCTCAAAAAACAGAACTGCATATCCAAAAAGAATGAGTGTCTTTATACATCCCACATCCTAGAACTGTACCAGGAATTCACAATGCATATGGGAAATTATGTCTGCATGTGCATTAAGTTTTGTAAAATGACAGAAACAACAGCTGTTCTTCTGAAATAAGATGGTGGACTTATACCTATTGCCTAGTTGCTCTGTCTCCAGAACCAACCAGCAATCATTGCTCTAAAGGGAATTGGAGAAATAATCACCTGATGCACTGGAGAAGTTACCCAGAAAAATAGTCCATTTTAAAAACCTTTTCCCTGAGTTTTGACCTAGCAACCTTCTATTCTCAAAGCATTTGTTACAATCACTGCACCATTGTAATGTTACTCATAAAATAGATATAAAACCAACACTTTAGTAGGAAAAGCATTATTTAAAATTGGATACATGTGCATTTTGAACTTTAATTCTGAGTGTGTGTCCCCACCTTCCAATATAGCCCAAAGGTTCTTTTCAAAAGGCAACTTGACTGTGTTTTTTTTCCCTTGAAAACATTTAACTTCTTATCCAAAAAGCTTCTTCAGTTCTTCATAAACATTTTCAAGGAAAAAAACTAAGAAATTTCAGTTGCCTTTTGAAAACCATCTTTGGGACAACCATTATCCGGATGATTGAGAATTTCCATAGACACTCTCCCCCCTCTCCAATAAGTCATTCCTATCAAGGGAAGCAATTGGGATTTTTCCTGGAATAGAAATGAGGAAGGGGTAGCAGCAGCTGGGCCATTGCCCAATGAAAGGATGTGGTAGCAATAGCCAATTGACAAAGTGTACTTCACAAGCAGAATGTCCCCTGAGCTACCCCACAGGTGCCCATGTACAATTTGGTGAAATCTGGAAAGCTGCTAGTAGTGTATGTACCCAATCCTAGCCTGAATGACTTAATGCTCTAATTCAGTTTACAGCAGAATCTTATGTGCCACATAGAGCCAATATCACAAACTTACTCATCACTTACTCCCAACAAGTTCATTGAACTATTTTGGATTGTCCCTTTCCTGAAGGCCAGCAAGCAGTCAAAAGCATATTTAATAACCATAGCCTTATTTTTTTAATATGTTAAAAAGTCCTATTATTGTACTAGTTATTTTAGGTATTGCTTATTTTTATGTTCATTTTACTGCCCTATATTCTGTATTTAATATAGTCTGCCCTGAGATCCTTAGGATAATGGCCAGGTCAAACATATTTATATTAATATTTATCTTGCTGCTACTTTAAATGAAGGAGAATGAATAGGAACTCAGCAAACCACAATTCCATATATTTTGTGTGAGAAGCACTATTCAAATTTGCATTCAAGTACAAAGCCTTGAGCAAGATACTATTTATATATACTACCATAGGGGGTGACTAATATAACTATTACTAACCCACTACTGTTTGCTCTGTTCAAATCTATATGACCAAGTATACTATCAGAAGTTGTTTTCTTAGCCTGGGTCTAAATATACAATTACACAGAAATCATTTCTCTTGCCATTAAGATGAGACTTTGGAGTATACTTGGAGTATATTCCTATTAATTTCTAGCAGGAAGATTTATATTAGTAGCAGCGATGAGAAGGTCTTTAATACACCTAAAATTCATGTTCCATTGGTGGTAAGAATTAACTACAACATCACATGCATAGTCATTAGGACTGCCTGCAAAAACACATTAAATTTCTGCTAACAACAACAAAAAGTAATCAGATGTGGGCTCCTGATAATAATAGTCTCACTGTTTGAAACCCATTGTTATTTGTTTTCTAACTAGATTGACAAGCCAACATATTACCAACTACTCTTGTAGTGTTAAATCCTTCAGCACGACCCTAGATTTCCAAAATGAGGGTATAGAATTATAATAAATCACATAGGCCATTCTGTCACACACGCCCAGCTCAAAAATAATTCCTGATTTCAGTTTTCACACAAATAGTCCGAAGAAGAGAGCTAGGATAAAATATGAAACACAAAAATTGCAATGTACAAGGCGAGATTTTGTGCATTATAATATTTCTGAAGGCTGGGAGGGGAATACCTACAATTCCCGTCACTTCTAGCAAGGAGATTAGGTTGAAGAAGGAAGGCTCCACTAGCGCATTTTTGCAATATACTTGCATGCATGCGTGCACATCAGCCGCCACTCATCGTTACGTCTGTCAAAATAATAAAAATGCATTTTCCCCAGGAAGCCCCCTATTCTTTGGCATTCAAGGATCAGCCACAATTACTCCTCGCCTTCTTCCACCCTTCATGCCACTAGCAGAGGGCGAAACCTTTTACCACTGCTGCCATTTACCTTGCTCAGGGACCAGGTAATGTCCGGCGCGACAAAGCGTTGTTGTTGGGGTCCCCCCTGGACAGCTGTCAACAGCTGCAGAGCGCCGACGGTCAGCCAGAGCGCCAAAGCCTGCATTTCTCGGGATCAATTCGGCTAAAACCGGGAAGGATGCGGCTCACAAGCGCAGAGAGATCGAGCTCTTCGAGGATCGCTTTAGAAGCTCCAGGAAGCAAAAGATGCAAGCTCAGCTTTTCTGGGAGGAAAACTTCCCAAGAGTCCAGACAGAGTCCACCAAAGTCTCGGGTTTTTGTTTTGTTTTGTTTGTTTTACTGGACTCTCGTCCTCTCCCTCTGCATCAGAGACACATGTGAACCCGCCTCCTTCGTCCACCAGATCTTTTGACGGAGAAAACGTGACTTCTTTCGCAAGCTCTGAAACCGGAAAGGGAGCTCTCTCTTCATGCCCCGATGCGAGGTAAGCGACTCTGACCTCTGCTGGTAGGGAAGGTGTATCGTCCAGGCAATTCGGGTGCGGAAACTTTACAAAATGATTGATTTCTACTTTTTTTTTTTTTTAATCAAATGCTTCATTGAAGGGGATGGGGGGGGGAAACCCCCATTGGAATCTCATTTTCTGCTAATCTCAGATCTTTTATTTCTGCACCCATTTCCATTTCGCCATTTGTTCTCCTTAAAAGCCAATGGGGAGACTCCGCTGCAAATCACTCATTTATTCGGAACTGAAGGTTTAGGGCTAATAAAGTTACTCCTAATGATTCTGTGAACAGGGCCATGCAGTTTTCTTACAGAATTAGCTATAGCAATAGCACTTAGATTTATATACTGCTTCACAGTGCTTTTACAGCCCTCTCTAAGGGTTTTATACTATAAGGGACTATACTTTCAGGGATCATTTCTATAGCATCCAACTAGAGAAATGCACTCAAAAGTGATCGGCTGGGCTGAGTTTACAGAGTCAGCCGATTGCCCCCAACAATCTGGGTCATTTTATCCACCTCCAAGGTTGGAAGGTTGAGTCAACCTTGAGCCTGGTGAGATTTGAACTTCCAAATTGCAGGTAGCTGGCAGGCAGCAGAAGTAACCTGCAGTACTGCACTCTAACCACTGCACCACCGTGCCTCATTAGGGGAGTGATTTGCCATTATTTTCTGAAGTAAGTCTAGAGGTGGTATTCAGCAGGTTCTGACCAGTTCTGGACAACCAGTAGCAGGCATTTTGAGTAGTTTGGAGAATGGCAAATACCACCTCTGACTGGAGATTTTACAGTATTCTTCCCCTGCCACACCCACCAAGCCATGCCCACAGAACCAGTAGTAAAAAAATAGTCAATAGTCGACCGAAATCGGCCAAGCCTCCTGGGACTCGAATGGTTTGCACCATTAGGAATCGAAATCACAGGGATAAACAGCATCACTGAGACAGAGTGGGAAGAGGACCTGATGGAAGAATTCCGGGACGTGTTCAATGGAGAACAGGGCAAGTACTGGGGGTCCCCAATTTCCTTTAATCTAAACCCAAACATAGCCCCTATAAGGTTAAAGGCGAGGCGGGTTCCTTTCGCACTAAATCCAAAAATCGATGAGCAATTGGATAAACTCATCGCACAAGGGGTTTTAGAACCAACTGACCACGCAAAGTGGGAAAGTCCAATTGTTACACCAATTAAACCTGATGGGCTGGTATGCATCTGCGGGGACTACAAAGCAACCCTTAACCACATGCTACAACAAAGCGCATACCCGGTCCCAGTGGTACAGCATCTATTACATTCCCTTGGGGGGGTGGAAATCTTCATGAAACTAGACCTCGCACAGGCCTACCAACAGTTACCCATTGACCCAGAAACAGCAGAAGCCCAGACAATCGTGATGCACAGGCGGGCATTCAAATGCAACAGACTACAATTTGGCACCAGCATCGCCCCAGGGGTATTCCAGAGCTTAATGCAAGGGATAAAAGGGGTGGTACCATATTTGATGATGTCCTGGTATCAGCCAAGGACAAAGAACAACTGTGAGACTGCCTAAGGGAAGTCCTAGGTAAATTCAAGGAGGCGGGACTAAAAGTAAAAAAGGAGAAGTGTCAATTATCCACCAGCAAAGTTGAATTCCTAGGATATCTTATAGACAGCGAAGGAATCCATCCCACAGAAAATAAAGCCAGAGCAATCAAGGAAAGCCCCCAGACCCACAAATAAAACTGATCTGCAAGCTTTCTTAGGTCTCATTAACTTTTATAATATATTCCTACCACAGAAAGCAACCATTGCGGAACCACTACACAGGTTGCTTGACAAGAAAGCAATCTGGGCCTGGGGCAACGGGAAGAAACGGGATTCCAGGAAATAAAAAACTTGATCACATCAGACCGCGTACTAATACAATATAGCGAAACACTTCCAATAACACTAACCTGCGATGCATCACCTTTTGGTGTCGGCACTATACTCAGCCACGTATTACCAGATGGGAAAGAAGCACCCATAGCATTCTATTCAAAGACTGTCAAAGCCGGACCGGAACTACAGCCAACTAGACAAAGAGGCATTGGCCGCTGTCACTGGAATAAAACGTTTCCACGAATATATCTATGGGAGAACTTTCACACTAGTCACAGACCATAAGCCACTCTTGGGCATCATTGCAGGAAACAAAGCTACACCTAACATACTGTCACCATGAATGACACAGTGGTCAGAATACTTGGCTGCCTACAGCTACAAATTAACCTACCTACCCTGAAAGGGCATAAATCATGCTGACACGCTTAGCTATTGCCCTCTACCTGACATAGAAGATGACCCAGCACCAACCACATTAACCCTCCAAATAGAGACATTAGAAAACCTACCCATAACGGCAGCAGACATCGCTAGGGAAACAGCTAGAGACAACACCCTGGCATGGATTTTAAATTGAGTAGGAAAGGGATGGCCAGAAACTGAGATCGACGAGACTGCCAAACTGTTCCGGAATAGACAAACAGAACTCTCGATGCTGAAAGGGTGCGTACTATGGGGGGATCGAGTGGTCATACTGGACGTTTTAAGGAAATGCATACTAGAAATGTTACATGAGGGACACCCAGGTATTGTAAAAATGAAATTCCTGGCAAGGAGTTATGTATAGTGGCCAGGGATGGATAAGGAAATAGGGGACTGGGTAGCAACGTGTAAACGCTGCCATGAATCCAGGCCAACACCCCCCACAGCACCAAAACACGAATGGGAAACACCAAGGGGACCATGGTCAAGATTACACATTGATTTTGCAGGCCCAACCAAAGGACACACATTCCTAATAGTCGTAGATGCTTACTCCAAATGGCTAGAAGTAAGCATCATGCACTCCACCACAACAAAAGCCATCATTAGACAGCTCAGGAAACTTTTTGCAACACACGGATTGCCGGATTTAATTGTATCTGACAATGGGCCACAATTCACAGCAACAACATTCGAGGGATTTCTAGCACAAAATGGAATAAGGCATGCACTGACAGTGCCGGGAGATCCATCCACAAACGGACGGGCAGAATGCATAGTACGTTACACGAAGGAAACATTACAAAAGTTGGGGCCTGGGGACACACAAGAAAAAATAGATAAACTACTAAGCATACAGCACATGACACCCAGTGCCACAACAAATAAAAGTCCAGCAGAGTTACTAATGGGGAGGAAACTTAGATCACACCTAGACAGACTACACCCCACATATAGCCCCGAAAAACCAGCAGGCTCCTCCAGTAATTGCTGCACATTTCAAACAGGGGACCCAGTATACGCAAAAAATCTTACGGGGGAACCATTGTGGATACCAGCAAAGGTGACCCAGATAACCGGACCCTGTTCATACAGGGTAGACACCACGGACGGGAGGAGCTGGAAGAGGCACATAGACCAGCTCAGATCTAGAGCCACAAAGGGAGACGCAACCCGACCCATGGAAGAGGGGGAAGACCCCTCAAACAAACAAAACAAAGACAAGGAAAAAGGGGGAGATCCCTCAAACATGACCATAGGGGAGGGGGGAGACCCCTCAAGCAAACAAAACACAAGCAGAGAAGAGGGGGGAGACCCCTCAAACAGACAAAACACAAGTAGGAAGGGAGGGGGAGACCCTCCACAAACAAGAGAAACAACAGAACAAACCCTGACAACTACGCAACAACCACTACTAACATTAGCCCCGGTCGGGAAACGCAAACACGTACCTGAGACCAGGGAAGAAGGCAGGCCGGGGAGACAGGAACAGGTCCAGAAGGATAGCGGGAAAGCAACCCTGGCGGGAGCGGCCACACCAACTCAACCAGCCAGGAGGTTCCAAGAAGACGGATGGGAGAAACAACAGATCCGTCCGAGCAATCCAGAGGCCAAATCACGACTGAGCTGCGCAGGTCCAGTAAAACCCATAAAAACACCGCCTACCTACGTGATTATGTACGGTAGGCGAGGCTCAGATTGGTTGGACTGGACCAGGTGGGGAGGAGTGTTATATATTAACATACTTACCTGCAATTGGTCGGTCCGTGGCGGTGGGAAATTTGAAGAGCCGTCACTGGCCACAGCTGCGAGCAGCCAAATATAAAAAGGCTGCCGTGGTTTCTTCGGCGCTCAGTCCTAGAAGGAAGTAAAGACAATTGATGATCATGCTGGTGTCCTGAGTCTCATTTCCCGTGATCTAACAATTACCTTACCTATAAGGTATGGTTTGTACATGAGACTGCACAAACCATACCTACAGGCTGGGTGCTTTCACTGAGCTAAATAACAGTTCATTTCATCCTGGGCTATTAAATAAATCATAACTAGCAGGGTTCACCATCTAAGTCATATTATACTAGCCATGTCTACCTATCCAGTCAAAATTCATCCAGTGAACAAATACAAAGTAATTATGCAACTGCACAGTGCCCAGGAAGTTTCAGAACTGACTTGGCATTCTTCCTCAGAGCCAGATTGCGTTTTGCCAAAGAATTGGATGCAACATAAATAAAACATATATTGATAATGTTTTTATGAGAGTGTAAATCTCTGCAAAAAGCAACCTGAAGTGCATCTTTTAGCTGTGTAAAGCTCCTAGATTCAGCATTCCATATGTGATGTTTTGGGGACCAGTTAAAAGGCAACTCCTCTGAAATACCGGCCTGAACTGCATCTTTCATCTGTTTAAAAAGTCCTGAGCTCAGCATTTCATATTTGATGGCTTTGGAACTTGTTAAACTGCAATTTCTGTCACTCTAGTACACCAGTGGGTATCACAAACATCCATGGCATTTGATGCAAGTGTAAATGTGGGTGACCCCATTTTCATTTGCCTCATCTCCTCTGCAGACACAACAACTCTCTTGCCCTCCATATAGGAAT